TACAACTTTTTAAATCCTTGCACATCCTGGAATGAATCCAGTTTGCTTTCTCTGTGTTGCCCAAGTAGCTGCTCTTATTCATACAATGTTATTTCTTTGATAAGGCTTTTGATGTGTTTTAATGTCCTAGGTGATTGATCATAAGTTATATGGGAGTCGCTCTGAATTTGACAGCACAATTGATCGAGTTCTTGAAGAATTCGCCATTGAACTAATATGTCTTTCAGGATTTATGAGAATTTTGTCCAGTCCTTTTCTCAGAAAATGGAAAGGTAAGAAATTATAAGTGTAAAAGAAAAATTGAAATATTGGTGCTTGGTCTCACCAGAGTGACAGAGTCATAGTTATTCGTCCTTTGGCTAAATCTCCAACAGCCTCACTGACACTGAGGTTTGCATGTAAATCAGTGGGGCTGCCCTACACTTTCATTCATTCCAGCCAGTGGGACTGCGCTGGGATTCTGACTGTGTGTTGGCAGAGAAATGCCTTGTGCTGGCATAATGAATCACAGAGGAGCAAAATCAGCGTCATGGCATTCTTTCTGGGAAGGAGAAATGCCTGTGGAGCAGGCAAGAGTTTGGTTCTGTCTGCAGTAGGGGACAGGTAGCATAACTGTGTCATTTGTCAAGGAGCTGCACTGCGGAGTTGTGCTGAACTTATTCCCTGCAGTTGTCACTCAGAAAAACATGGGAGAGAGACTGATTTCTCAGTTCGTCTCCTCCTGTGCTGCCTGGAGGGCTGCACAGCGTAGCACTAGTCTGTACCGTGTGCTGGAAATACAGCTGTTACAGACCCCTGAGTGCGTGTGTCTCTGAGGTGGGGCAGAGATTTCTTTAGCCATGTTCCAGGCCACGGAGGAGGGAACACACACTCTTCTTTCCTTCTGGCTCTGGGCGCCAAGTGCCAGCTCCTGAGGCCTTCCTCAGAAGTTACTCGCTCACTACGCGGATTGCACTTGGACAGGCTCTTTTGGGAATGATATTTCCTATGAAAATCACTTCCATCTGTGCAGCGGCTCTGCACAACGCTGCAGTGTGAAGTCCTCTGCTTCCAAGCCCCTCATCTGCAGCAGAAGGGCATCTCACCTGGGAGGGGAGGGACTTTCCACTCCATCTGGCCATCCACAGATGCAAAAGCAAATGAGGTCCTTGGCCTTAACTGAAAGGTGCTCGCCTGGCTGCTGCCGCAGCCTGCACACCATCACCTGGATTCCTGGGAGAGCAGTATTTCCTCAGATCAGGGCAGCGCTTCCTCAGATTTCCTTAGAGATTGTAACACCATGTAGATGTTTTGCTTTTTAACTTGAATCTGAACATGCCCTGTTATATTCTGACTGCAGCTGAGACCATTTAAACTCCTGAGTGGTGCTCAATGCTGCTGTTTGGAACTGCTGATCACATCTCACTTTTATTTTTATAGGAAATTCAGTTCAAACTGATTTTCTTTTTTTCTCCTCTCACACTGATGGCCAGGGAAAATTTTGAATGCTTCCCCATCGCTTTTCCCACCAATCAGGGATGGAAATGACCATCAGCAAGCCCTGCAAAGTGGATTCAAAGTCACAGGCTGCACTGTGCATTTTGTCCTGGTAAGTGTCCTCTTGCCTAACATTGAGTAAGTTATGAAAAGGAATTTGCTTTTCTTTTTTCTTTTTGAAGGCAGAAACAGGAAGAGGTAACAGGAATGGGTGGAAGTCTTGGGACTGTTACCAGTAAAAACAGAAAGATGGGGCGTTACATTGCATTTGTGGTTTCTTGAGGTGCTATCTTCTTCCTTCATATTGTGAGGTGTGTTTTTCAGTTTCTCCTACTCTCAGCAGACTGCCCTCTGAATCTTCTAGCCCATGTGTCTCTCCTGCTGTACCCCCTGATGTAATGTAGGTGCCCCTAATGGAGGTGGCAAGCCTCTCTAGATGTATGTTAAGCCTCCTGCACACAGCTACACATCTGCTCACCGAGATCTCTCCTGAGACTTTCTCTGTCCCATCCGCATCATCCCATAACCTTCCTGACACTGTTCACTAGCCTCTTCTAAAAGACTCCCAATATCCCCATTTTAGGAGGAATCTAGTCCGAAAGCGGTGATCCACCAGGAGCCAGTATCTGTGAAGGCAGACGACACTGAGGAGACACTGTCAGAAAGGGTTAAAGAAGCCGAGTGTCGGGCTTTTCCCATTGCCCTGCAGCTGGTGGCCAGTGGAGCAGTGCAGTTAGGACCCGATGGTAAAACCTACTGGAAACAGGAGAGCCAGAGTCTGTGTCTTCAAGAGGAGAAGAGAGACTGCACATCCTCTCTTGTAGCTCTGGAGCCTCAAGAAAACGATGTGGTGTAGCCAGTGGCTTGCTCTCCGTTCATCTTTCCCTCCTCCCTGCCCTCTGTGTGCTTCTCTTCAACTGCAGGCATATCAGTGTCACGGGTTTCCATTCTGAGCCATGATCCTTTTTCCTTAGCTTGCAGCTTTAGTTACACTCCTTTTGCAAAATTGGCGGTGGAAGCCAAGCTATCATTTCAGATTTTGAATTTCTTTGTTCCTTTTTTTCATCTGTAAAGAAGATGCTGTGTTACACAGTAATGAGGAGGCTTAAGCTATAAAAATTACCTAGTGCTTCTGAGGCAAATTAATTCTTCTGAGGGATCAGTTTTTGCTGGCTGCATCACACTGCAGAGCACCAAGAGCTTCACAAAGCAACTGCAAACAGGAACTGTGCTGCTGCCAGAGGGTGACCAACTCCTGTTGGGTGGAAGAGGCCAGACATGTCGGGGCAGATCAGGAGTGCGGCCCAGCCTGGCATGGTGTGGATTTGGGGGTGACCAAGCATTAGGAACGATGCATAGTTCTGTAGGAGGAGGCAGGAGCCTTCAAGGAGCCCCACTACCGCAGGAGCACCTCAGGGTACAGAGGAGGAGAGGATATGCAAACGTGCACCAGTGTGAGAGTCAGTGTCAAGTGAGCTGGCAAGCAGAAGATCCAAAGGCAAACGAGGCAGGGAGCTTTTTAAAAGGGAAAAAGAAAAAAAAAAAGAAAAAAAAAAAAAGGAAACAAACTCCCCTTCACAGATTATTTGTCAATATGGTGTAATAGCGGCTACTGAACATATATCTAGATGCTTTCCCCTGCTCCTTGAAAAGGGGTGGTGCATTGACATTCCCAGAATTTCATATTAAAACATTTGGATCTTGAGGGATGAAAATTTGATTAGAGGGACTAGAAACACCAGATTTCAGGCGTTTTTCTTCCTTCATCCTTGAAATCAGCAGAACAAAATGAAGACTTCCTCAGCTTAACTTGCAGTTGCAGAAAAATCTGTTTTCTTTGTTGACTGAATGATTGGATTAGTCCAGAGTCACTGCTGTTAAATAAAACCTTTTTCTGTGGGAAGCTTATTTTTTATCTACCAGAATAATACCTTGCATGTAAGTTAGAAATCAGAGGAAGAAAAGTAGCTAAGAAGCTACTTGAGCAAACTAGAAAAGAAGTAGCCAGAGCTGAATTTTCCAGAGGAGGGATCACTAGTAGCCATTACATGCAGTGAAAAAAATGTATTTTTGTTTTGGTATTACATGTACTGTACATCTCGCTCTTGGCTGTTGTGTCAGGCTGTTTGAAAGCATGAGTCAGCTCCAGTTAAAAAGTCCAAATTTTTCCTTTTTTTTTTTTTTTTTTTAATGTGTAGCTAGTGGTGTTTCAGTAGTTAGGGAGGGGAGAAAAATTCAGTTCCCTCCTGTAAGCTCTGCCATTTATGTACCGAAATCTGTATTTGTCTTTTGGATTTCAGCAACTGCAACAAGTAACATGTATTTTTCATCATCTGGGAGAAATAGGAAGAACCGCAACAAGACAAGATTAACAACTGTGTGGTGTATGTAGATTATTTTTATGATAAACACATTGCTTAGTTTGCGTTCAGTCTGTTGTAACTGTATAGTAACTTCCTGTTGTATATTTGAATTGCATAGCACGCGTGACTGAATGTTCCAAACCTAACAAATAAAAAGTTAAAGAGGATAGGGTGCTAGTTATTCTGCTCTGATAACTCTCCAGACAATCACCATAGTATCGGACAACTCTTTCTCTGATTTTGTGTTCCTGGCATCCCTCTGAGATTGGGTGTGGTGACAGTCTATTAATCTATTTATTTTTTTTACAGAGTGGTAATTGAAGCAAAGCCACCCAAGATCCAGCTCACAATGAAAATTCTTTTACACATTTGTAGAAATACAAACGGGTGTCTAAATCCCATCTGTCATCAGCCTTAGATGGCAAAATACCCGAGTCTTGCTCAAGCTGTCAGTGATGGAATGGGGTATTGGATTTGGAGCACTCAGGTCTTCTGCTGTCAGCCTTTCGGGCAGCAATCAAACCACTTATCAATTATGTTCTATTTATTAACTGTACAGGTAGTGATTTCCCCCCTCATACCCTTACTTCTTCTAACATGCCTGTAAATTTAAGTACAATTTTTTTTGACTTGTAGATTGTTTACTTTGTCATGGCTAAGGCACTGAACTTGGCGCGGGCTGAACCCCTGCCAGCACTGGACGCCTCCCCGCATCTTTTGCATTCTGAGACAGGCTGGATTTCAAGCCTTGGTGGGCAGTTTGCCTGCGGGGGAGGCCCTTCTGTGGGAGGGCAGGTTTGTAACAAAAAACTCTGGGATTAAGACTTAGCTTTTATTTTTTGCTTTTTACAAGCAAATTAAATTTGACCATGTCATCTTCCTCTGTATTTGCTTGAGCTCTATCCTCAGTGCCAAATGATGACAGGAATATTTTGTCAGCAAGTTTCTTCATCACGAACCATCTGGCCCCTGAAACAGTAAGGTCACCACACTCCACGAATCATGTCTAACTTATGCAGGATTGCACATATCTGTAGCCTCACAACCTGATTTACAGTTGCTGTTCTGCAGAAGGTATTCAATTCTGTTTCACATAATCTTCTCACAATTTATACCCCCGATAAGAAATTCCAAGGAAAGACTTTGATATTTAATTTTTGAACTTCATTAGACTTTATTTCAAATCCAAATTGAGATTACGTCAACATGGAAGTACCATAAGGACATCGGTGCACAGAATACAAATCAGCTTTCTCTGTATTAAAGGGGAGCTCTAAAATATAAATAATCAGCTTCAGTCAGATACTTCTGGTTTGCATGGGAGAAAATAGATTATTTTAGTAAATATCAAAATGTTTTCACAACTCTACTAAAATATTAAAAGAAGACCAGGTGCTTTTTCACAAGAGTTGAGCTGTGCAAAAAACCTTATTGTTTTCAGAACGATAACATTTACTGGGTTTCCGCATTATTGCAGGTAAAAATACCATTCCAAGAATAAAGGCACTTAACTTCAACAGAATTTCTGAAGAACGTCTCACAAGCCAAGAACACATTTTGTATCTAGTCCTAACTCCCTTTCTGCTCCTTCAAAAAAACCTAACCCAACTCTTTCAGCTCTGAACAAATCTCTGAGGGGAATTCACATGGGATGCTCAGAGGCAGATGGTCAGCAGACATTTAATTCTATTTAGCATCTGATTAATAGCAGGCCCAATAATTGAAATTATGGGATATGTCCAGAATCTGCACCGGACAAAACCTACCAATATTAAACCAGAAATTATATGGAAAAAAATCTGCTTCATTATCTGCAGGAATAGCTAGTATTTTGGGAGGCCAGTTTTTCTTGTTTCAGCTAGAGATTTTTACAAGTAAAGTTTTTGCCTTTAGCAGTCTCTGCCATTGTACTAGTTCTATTACTTTTCTTCACAAACACTTCACAGCACATGTCAAGAGAATCCTGTTACACCCTGTATGGTCTGTTAGAGAGTAATCCTGATGTTCCTAAGCCAATCTCAGAGATGCTCAGATCTCTGTGTAACCAACGGAATGTTTTTTGTTTGTTAAGAAAGTGACTGAGAACCAAAATGTTGGCCAAGGAAGTGATTAAAATTAGGAAGCATGTAACAGAGGCATTGCTGAAACTACTGAGAACAGCCCCCTGCCTCAATATTCCCATTTAGTGGCTTTCTCTGGATTTGACATTTAATCTTTTAACGATTTGAGTGAGAACATGACATAGTAAACTCTACATTGAAAACACTTTGTGAAGAGAATACAGTGTGCGTGTTATGAGGCTGTGACCCCTGTTTTGATCAATTAAGGCACCCCAGCTGTCCCATCTGAGGATGTTCGTAGACACGCTGCTCCTACTTCCAGTAGATCTTGCCAGCTTCCCCCACCTGTACAGCCCCGCTGGCGACAAGCTGCAGGGCAGCTGGGAAGGCTCGGTGCTCGGCCTCCTTCACCCTTTCGGACAGGGTCTCCACCGTGTCACCGATCTTCACTGGAACGGCCTCTTGGAAAATAATTGCTCCGGCATCAACTTCCTCCTGGAAAAGCAATAGCCAGAAAGTTTGAACGGTTGAAAGAGGAGAGAGAAGGGGGCCTGGATAATGAGTGTAATCCAGCTGCCTCGGGGATCTGTTCATCATTATGTTATTACGGGAAACATGAATTTGGGCTGACGTGAGGAGTACAGAAAAGATGCTGGCACTCAGGCTGGCCGTGAGGAACTAACAGAAGTGTAGGGTTCAGAGAAAAAGAGGAGGTAGGCAGAACACCACCGAGTAACATTTCTGCTACAGAAAACAACAAAAGCCATGTTAACTGGGGACTTGATAGGCTAAATTGGACAAAAATGACATTTCAATTCAGAAGAGTGAATTAGCCAAGCCTTGGCACGAAGCCAGACTAGATCTTTCTTTTGCATGTTAATGAGGCAGATCCCTGCTGTTTAGTTATTGTTTCTTAGTACATTGCCACACAGAGAAGAAACCCTAAGTCATACCATGGAGAGAGGAATGCAATTTTTCCTTCTATCTGGAAAAACAGTTTTTGTCTTTTTCCAAGAGAAAGCAAAAATCAGGAGAACAGATTCCAGGAGCAGTGGAGGGGAGACTAGTTACTGTCAACCCTGGGAACTGAACAAGATGGGAAAAACGCTCTCTGAACTGATAAAAATGTGCATTTTTCAAGTTGAGAGGTCTCTGGCTTTTGTTTTCTCAGTTTTTGACTAACATAAATTGTTAAGTTTTTCTCTGTTTCCACATATATTAGATTACTTCTTAACAAATCTAAGCTTCTTGTGCCATTTCCAGTCCTGTGTTGGTTTTTTCTTTTTTCTTTTTCTTGAAAGCAAAAAAAGAGGAAGGTTATATGATAAAATCTGAGTTGTTGGTGCTGTGTAGTAATAAAGATTTTGGGTTAGCCAAGGCCTTATATGAACTAGTACTCCCACTCCAACTCATGGAAGGCAGCAGTAGGATGCTTAGAGAAGTTAACTTAGGTAAAGCTTAAACTCCTGTATAGACTACTCATTTCCAGTTCCTTCTCCAGGGACAGCAAACTAAAGCACTATATCATCTAACAATGTTATGAATGAACAAGGGAGGAAAGGTACTCAAACATGATGGTATAAATGTGTTCCAAGCAAGCTCTGAGGTGAAAATCTTAAGACTAATAAATTAGAGTTAAAAGGAGGGAGAAGGAAGTACTCACAGCCACAAAGTGTACAGTACAGCCTGTGACCCGGACTCCAGCTTGTAACACCAATTTGTGGGCATTTGCTCCCTTAAAAGAAGGCAGTAGAGATGGGTGGATGTTCAGTATTTTTCCTGGAAAATCATAAGTGAGATCATTGCCTTTTAGCATTCAGCCATACCAGAGTGTTCAAAGTACTGTAATCAACATAGGAACAAAATACATTTGTGAAAAAGATTTTTCATGACTTTTGCATAATGCTTGTTTTTTGATAATACTGACAGGTAACCAGCCCAAAGCATTTCAGACTGTCTTGCTATTTCAGAAAAAATCAAACACAGCAATCAGTTCCAATTAACTGCATGGCTCAAGCATGTTTATCTGGTGACTAATAATGATTAATTTTTTGATGTAGCTGTCCTTCCACCCAACATCTTGTTCTTCTCTTCTTTGATCATAAGCACAATCCTATTTCTTACAAACTCATGACCTGGAAGAAACTTGGTGTAGTTTCAAATGACCTAACAGATCCCCCCCTGTGACAAGGCAAAAATTCTTTAGCGTGGACTTTTCTTCCACACCTGTTTTGGCTTAATAAAACACAACAGCTGCTCATATAGCAGCCCTTCTCTCTGCCCTTCTGAAAAGCACCTGACTGTCACTACTACTTTCCATGTGGAAAGCTGGCTGGGGGATCCTGAAATTGATAATGTAACTTCTAATGGTCAACCAGGTGTGACTGTGGTTATAACTCTGGGAAGCCTGTACCTTACATTTCTCTTAAAAGAGAAAGCATATGCCTGAGCTCCTACCTAGCTGTAAAGTAAGGGAGAGCGGCTGCCCATGAGCTCAGGATCTTACCACTACAGCAATGCGATGGTTAATCCATGAGAAAACCTTCTTTCTTCTGGCAGACTTCCCCTGTCTGCTCCTAATAGTCTGTGACAACTCCTCCTGCCCATTCTGGACCAGAGTGAAGTCAAAAGGTGCCTGACAGCCCTAGATCTTCTCTTAGATTCAGTACAAACCCTTACAGGAATAAAAAAAAAAAAGTGGCCATCGATACTATTTATATCACAGTATGCTACGCCCACGCCATCTCTGCATGCCTCCTGTTTAGGAAGACTGTATGTCATCAGGATTCATTAAACACCACCTAAATGCCAAGCAGCGAGACTGAGCTGACATATGCTGGCGGAGGCAGCAATGTACCGAAATAGTGGCTTATGATTTTGTAATGTGAAGTGAAGGCCATTTCTGGCAGCACCCTACAAAACCTGCACTCTCACTGCAGTAACTCATGCTGATACTGTCCTGTGCAACTTAAAGGCAAATGTATCAACTGATCTTCAACAATATCTCAAATGTGGTTTGGATCTGAAAAACAGCCCTTTTTAAGCATCAGCATCTACCCTGCCTGCTGCTCGAGCAAGAAAGTATTTGGGACAGTGACCTGAAAACAATCCTCTGCACTTCTGTCTGAGTTTCCCCAGTTTCTCATTACAGTACTGTTAGAAAAACTGCTCTAAAGGAATGTGGTTTTCTGTTTGCTTGCTTTTTTTAATCTGTCCTGTATGTTAACATTCAAAATTAACATTTCATGGCCTTTAAGCAAGAAAAGAGTTTCACAACTAACTTCACACTCTATGTCCTCATGACTGCGAGAAACAAAAAGCAACAGCTTTTAAGAAAGCAGCAACAAGAATTGATTACATGTGGATAATTTAGGGTAGTCAGTGACTAGGCATGGCTGGGTCAGTTTTACAGCAGGATCCTGTTAGCTGGCACAGATCCCTGAGCTGAACTGAATGTTTGAGTTCACATTTAAGACCTAACTGAAGCATACTCTTGGTCAGAGCTCAGATAGGTATCTGTTTTCAAGCTCAATTCAGTGCTGGACATTTAAAAAATAAGTTCACCATACTGTATTGAAGAAAGTATTTTCATTTGCTCTCGCGTCAGTCATACATGTAATCCTACACAATCCATACACAAATCCTGCCACTCTGCAGGGTAATCATCACTGCTGGAAGCGCTCTGTCCCTAAATCAGAGGGAACTAAACACGCCCTTTATTTGTGCAAGGTCTCTGCACTAGAGAAAGTTCTTTTCCATCCTCTACACAGATACTCTACTCAAAACACATCTCTTGTAGTGAGGAATTCCTCTCTCCTAACTACAGCTGTCTACAGTACAGGCATTTACATCTTTGTCTTCTGGACTCTGTAACGAATGGAAAGAAACAAAACCAATTCATCTGACTTAACTTTAGCTGACAGCTTTAGCATAAAATGAATTGCCTCCTAGGAATGCCTGTTTTGCTCCACTGATTTTTAAAGAGAGGTTTGAAAAGTAGTTCAGGTGTAAAAGGTCTGTGTCACAGACACACCCAGGGTAACACAGAAGTCAGCATTTGAACAATAAAGGCCGCCCAAGAGCTGCAATGTATAGGCTGAGCAGCCTGTAACTGGTATGAGCAAGAACCAGTTTAAGTAACTGTGACTGAACCAAAGCAGAGAAAACTGTGAGAAGAGCAGCTGCCTCTGTGTGATTCAGGACTCCTTAAAAGAAACAGAAGGAAATAAGAGGAATGTAACAACTGGGGGAGGGAGAGCAGCCACTGCAGTAGGCCGAGGTGTTACCAGCCTCTAAACAAAGACCTGGAAAAACTGTAGAAGATGACCAGAATGGAGACACTGTGAACACTCTGGACATACAAGAGCTGGATCTGCCTGTGAAACATGCCACCCTCGGATTCACACAGCTCCTGCAATGTCTGACCAGAAGACTGGCAAGATCTTGTTAACAGGAACTGCATATTGCTGCCCAGTGTTGCAGTTTTATACGCAGCCAAATCAGCTCGTCTGTTAGGGGATGGAATTCTCAGTGGCTGGATGATCACCTCTCCCCAAACAACAACTACTGCTTAGGCAACAATTTGCCCTGCACCTGATTTGCTGGGGTCTAAAGTCTTCACAGCCTTTTAAAAACTAATTTCTAATAAATCAAATACTACAAGACCTGCATTTGCCCTTGGCTTCCTTAAACCTCTGTGGAAATGACAGAAGGAAGGGGTAAAATACTGCCTTTCCCTTTCTCATCCTTTTCCCTATGAGATGGTAAGAGTCCAGTTGCCTGCAAAGCCAGAATTAATATAGTCCCTTTTCTATATTTTTCCCATTTTCTTTTTCCTGAGGATAAGCCATAAAATTACTTCTTTTTAAATGCATACAGTACTATGCTGTGCTTACCTTCCCATTTTTTGACAAAAGGACCTGACAGTATTCGCATAAATCCAGCCAGACATATCAGTTCAACTGAGAATTCTTCAAGGACTTTGTCAACTGCACTGTCAAAGTCAGTGCGACTGTCATACAATTTATGGTCAATAACCTGTGGTAACCCAAAAGACAAAGAAATACGGGCATAGTGTCAATTTAATCTAAAAGCCCTAAGAGCACAATGAAATGGTACCCTGGAGTAATAGACAAAAAAAACAAGTAAATCTCCATGTGTGGCTCGAGTTGGGTGCACATCCACAGCAGGAGCAACCATTTATAAATGCATGCAGCCAACAGAGAAACATGCAGTCTTTATTCCTATTCACATAAAGCAATCATCAGAATAAACAAGAGTTTCATTTTATTAGGCCTACAAGTGTAGGCCCCAGCATTTTGACATAATTTAACAACCTACAAGTGTAGGTCATCAAGACAACCTGAAGTCATACAATGTTTTCACTCAGTCTAAGGCCTCTGATATTTTAGCAGTTGAACCTTGCTGAAAATTGTATCACAAAACCCTGAAAGAAAGCCTAATCACAAACTCATAAAACAGCCCCTACTGCATGAGGTCAATATTTTAAATAAAAATACCTGTTAATCCCCACTAGATTTGCCACAGTAGTTTTGAAAAAGCAGAACTGGTTAGCTGAAAAGGTGGCAGAAGGCACTAGAAACAGCCCAGTTCAACACTGGGCTGAACTCTGCTAGGAACTACCAGGTAGTAACCGGTAAGGCATGTACTCCTCTGTTCCACCACTCCCCATCTTAACCAGTGAGACCATCAGCTCTCTCAGACTGTATTTTTTTTCCTCAATGTACGTTTGTTCTTCCCCTGCATACATGGATATATTTTGCTTGTGACCTTTGTGTACTCCCAAATATGAGACAGCAGCAGGAACATTCAGATCCTGCTACTATTAAAGTTAATAGCAAAGTTTGCACTGGGACCAAATCTTTCCTATGTCTGTGGTTATCAGTGAAAAGTGACTGTAAAATGCTCTTAAGTCAGAACAGTGGCATTTCACATCTGTAATACAAACGACTGCACAAAGGGCAAAGCAATGCAGCACTGGATCCAGTGACACTAGGAGAAACATAGTCTGCTTTCAATGAATCCTGGAGAGCCTGAAAAAATGTCCAGGGAGTCAGTGGAAGGTTTCCTATCAAACCATCTCTTACCCTAGTAACACTCATTATCTCATAGCACCTTCCCTCTACAGTCAGAGATAATGATGGCTAATTTTATAAACATGAGAATTACTTACCCTTGTAGGAATACCAGCTCTTTCAGCTTTCCTTAACCCCTCCACACCAGCTTTGTTAGAAACGACAAGAACTATTTGTGCAAAACTGGTGGGCTTCTTTGTGCTATTTATGAGGGCTTCCAGGTTTGTGCCTATGAGTGAAAAAATAATTAATGAATATCAAATAATTCCTGGAGAATAAATATAGTAAACAGCAAGAAGAGGTTTTAAATAAGCAGCAGTGTGAGTGAGACCCAATCCAAAAACCTCTGATGTTAACAATAATCCTTTTTAAATTGATCTTACTGGGAATGGAATTTGACAGCTGGAGGCTACAGGGCTTTTACTAGCAATTAAATTTCTAAACTGTAATTTATGGAATTGGAATGATGGTTTGCTTCTTAGCAAGTGAGAATACTGGAAACCCTAGGAGTGCCTATATGGCAGGAAGTTCTATCTATTTGTGAAATAATGCTGCAACACAGTAGTTCCCTGAATCTGGAGAACATGTAGACATTTGTAGATAAAATGAACACAGATGCAATTCATAGTCAGTTTGCAGCAGAGGTTAAAGAGCATTGTTTGTGACTGAAATTAATTCAGGGGCAAAAATCTATTCTGCCTGTTACTGAAAGCCTGTTAGAAGCCCATCAGAGCCTCCACAGAGAACTGCAAGGATTTAAGAGATTTTAAATCTGAGCGCAAGTTCCTTTTTCAATAGTCTGTTTTACACTGCAATAAAGAACATAACTCTCACCTGTTCCAGAGATAAGGACTGCAACCTTCACTTTCTTTGTCTGGATTTTGCCTTGAATATGGCTATGCACAGACAGTGATCTATTTGCTTGCAAGGCCCGAAGCAGATTATGGACTTTAACATGGGCAGAGCCTGAGCATGTACAAGAAGAGAAAACACAACAAAACAACGTGTAAATAAAGGGAGAAACAGAGAAGGAGTACCTATGAAAAGAGATTAATGGCACTGCTTCTCATTACTTTTTTATAGTTTTGGTGACACCTGACATTGCTAAGCACATGTTCTATGGACTAACACTGAAGTCGTGAGGACTGTCATTTTAATACCCTGTGCAAAAGAGCCATGGAGGTGTCAATTAAAGAGATTTTCAGCTAACCTCCATGGAGACTCACCAGCTAAGAAATTTAGCTGTGCTTTTTTTTTTTTTTTTTTTTTTTTTTTTTTTTTTTTTTTTTTTTTTTTTTAAGAGAAAAAAAATATAACCTTTTTGTAGGGACACAACTTTCCCGATCAGCCAAGCTGCCTCGTGTCTCTGTACGTCCTTGAGGACCTGCTGAGCCAGCTCCTTCTGAACTACCAAGACAGCACCAATCCCACAATTAAATGTCCGAGTCATTTCCTCCTCAGAGAGGTTCCCTTCTTTATGGAGCCAGCAAAAGATCTCAGGAATCTTCCAGGTAAGAGCATCTGAAGAGAATTGAAAATACAAATGAAGAGTGGAAATCTGTGGACAAATATGAAAACTATTAGAATATGAAGAGGCAAGATCTCGATGGGAAGCACAAAGTCCCACAGCAGCATTAGCTTGAGTGAAATCAGCTTCCATGCATGGAAACAGGATGCTTTTTCCTTCCTTACAGAACAAGACTTGGGAGTAGAAAGAAGTGTCATTCTGGGAAGAAATTAATCATATTGCTCCACTGCAATCCATTAATCAGTAATTCAAAATGGCCTCTGAGGCAATCTTTGGAAAATTATCTTCCTGAAGGTGACAACTCTGCTTCTAGAGAAACTGTCACAGAAGTCCCACACTGCTCTCAATTCCAGGAAGGTAGAGATGATTTACAGCAGCATGAGAAATGCTTCTTGGACGAGACAGTGTAAAGGAACTCCAAAGACAGTACGTTTCTTTCTTGTCATGTTATCTTTAAAATGGTATTATCCCCATTTATATTTATTAGTGTCCACTGTAGACAAGTGGAAGAATGATTTACATGCAGTTCTGGAGTGCAAAACTCAATATTAGTTCTCCTGTTTTACTCTACAACCCAACGAACACGCATAACCTATAGTAAGTAATTTAAATTTCCATACTACACTTTCTCTATAAATGAAATACTCTTTCTAGCATACCTGGCGAGACTGTGGTCAGGATTAATTAATAGCATGAGATGTACTTGAGCTATTTGAATGCTAATTGAAGACTTAATGAGTATCATTTAATTAGCAATAATTTTGTAGGCTATTGCAAATGGTGACAGCTCACTTTGGATTGCTTTTAATGTTGTTGTATTTTTGCAAGTATGGATACAGTTTCCTAAAAAATCAATTCAAAACACCATCAGGGGAAGTGAATTCAATGGGTAGCAGTCTTAAGACTACAAAGTGTTTTGACTGGCTCCAGTACAGGTGCAAGGAGAATTTCAGCAACAATGAAGAAAAAAGCAAATATTTCTAGAGAGGCAAGTCTAGCTCTTACAGCGCAAATCAGCTGACATGGCCCCACATACACAGGCTTCCACACCGATCCATATTAACATGAGGATGTTACCATAGCTTTTCTTTTCATCTCACCTAAAATGACACCAAAAGACTCTGGGAGAACTCTGGGGATGTTTTCCAGCAAGCCCCCTCCAGTGATGTGGGCGTAGGCTTTCACATGGCCTGAGCGAAGGACGGGCAACAGAGTCTTACTGTAGATTTTAGTTGGCGTTAACAAGAGATCTCCTGTAGATGAAAGAGGATGTAAGAAGACCAGTTACAGCACAGAAGGAAATGTTAATCAATATAAAACTGAGGAAATATCAAAATATTAATTTGCTGGATACTAATGATCATTGTACTACAGAGAAAAACACAGTGTTCTGCCTTTTTTAGCATACAATTAGTTATGCCCCTCCCTTAACTTCTTTCCTGCATATGTGATTCAGAGGAAAAAAGAAGATGAGAATGTGTTAAAGAACAGAGTAATTTTTTTAGCACCTTACGAAAGTTACAAAAGCTATGCCACAGACAAAACAATTGTGTGACGTTTGCCTGTCCAGAAGTTCAAGTTATAATACAAGAAACTGCATTGTAAGTGGTACCTAATGTCTGATCACCAGAGACACCAACTGGAGAAGAGAAATCGAATGAAGACTTTTCCACAATCTTCCTTACAAGGCTGTACCCGTTGCTGTGAACACCAGAAGAACCTACACCAATAACCACGTCTCCATCAGCAATTCTCTCCAGCTGGGGCAGCATCTGCCCTCGCTCCACTGCACCCACAGCAAAGCCAGCCAGATCATACTCTCCAGGTGGATACATGCCTGGCATTTCAGCAGTTTCTCCTCCTGTGGGAACCAAAAAAATCAGGAAGAGGGTGTTAGAAAACCAATGGGACAAGTAGGCATGCAATTTTTCAAAGTTTTAAACTCATAAGGCATTAACAGAGTAGGTTTTTTAATTAGATAAACAAACATAGAATAATTAAAAACATGTTTGTCAATTGAACAAGCAACAGCAAATTGGGAAAGAACATTTCCTCCCTCACTCTGACACCCAGTACCAATTTGCTGTGCATTCACATTTTAAAATCAAAGTACATATTTAGTGTTTCATATTTCTAAATTTCTGCCAGGTTTAGTATTCTCCATGAAAAATCTACAAGACACAAGAGATACAAGAAATTCATACAAGGACATCAAAGGAACAAAACAGCTATTAGTCTCACTTGCCTTCATAAAGATTTTGTATATAGCATTATCCTGCCTGCCACTCCTGCCCACATCTTTATCACACAAACTCTGAATATCTAAGGTTTATAGCCTGTTCTAGGAGAACACCTCTAAAGGAGGGCCTTTCCTACCTATCTGTGCAGATGAACTCTTGTCTAGGCTATTATCTTATATCCTGATTATTAGACCATCCTCATGCTTTGCCCTGAAAACCCATCTTTTATCTGGCTGACCTCATTCAGAGTGCAGTCTGAAAAGGTGATTTTGCTAGCTTGCATGCACAGCACTGCTCAGACAGCATTTCCTCTCTCTCTCTCTGCATACCAACACCAGCTCCCCTACTGCCCTTCAGGTATAAGCTGATGGTCTTCACTGTTGGAAGACCTGTGTTGTGCCTGTCATGGCTCATTCAGTCTAGAGAGGGAACTTGCTGTGTTTGGTACATGAAATGAGCATTTATTGCTAGCTCCTAAGTTTTCCAAACAGGCATCTTCACACTGTCCCCTCATAGTGGGGAGAAACTCTCCCCAGCTGTCCTCACAGCCATCTCACTGATCTCCTTTAAGCCCCTCTGCTGGTCAAGTCTACAAGAAAACAACCTGACAATGATTAAATTGCCATTATATTATGACCTCTGCCCAACATGCTGGGTGGTACTGTCTTCTTTTTCTTTTGCAATCACCAGGTTTCATTCAATACAGAATTCTTTTATTTCCAAGAAGTGTCCCTGTAGGGGCTCCAAATTTACCTGAGTGATGGTGGAAGATGCTCTTGTGCTCAGTGCTTGACACTGCTCAACACTAGATTCTCTGGAAGCTTTTCCAGGTTTCTACATCACATTGCTAGAACCAACTTTAAAAATCAAAGTTCATTTTCTCAGATACATCTGTTTAAATCTTTATTTAATAACATTTGTGCAAAACCAAGCACGCAGATAAGCTCTTCAGTACCTCACTATCTGGTAGTGATGAGCATAAGGTGGCTGTGATGAGCTTAAGGTGGCTGAGCTGAATGTTCAGCTATTGCAGAAACGCAAGGTGTGAATTTAGCAACATGCTTCAAATGAGACTTTTATGGGATGATACTATACAAAGACAGAACTACGTGCTATGTGCATGCACAGTGAAATGAATGTGTGAAGTTGGAGCCCAAACTGAAATTTATTTCGATGATCCAAGCTACTGAAAAGCATTTCCTCCTTAGGTTCAGAGTTACTGCATCATCTCTGTCCCTCATTTTCTGAGAGTGCCAGAAATTTGGAGAACAAATCATGGTTGTTTTATTTATGAGTTCAGACTTATTTTTCTATTAGCACAAAAAGGCATTTGCTAACCCATTTATAATTTTCAGAAATCATTCTTTGGTAATAAATTTACAACATCCAAAGCTCTTTGAAGTTTTAAAGTCTTCCAACTGGAAATAAAATATTAAAATTTCAGTAAGAGATTTCATAGCAAGATTTCACATAACATGTCCTTATGCTGGAGTATGAATGGTTTGATTATATTTGATAAACTGAGAGAACAGTTCATGCAGAAAAAATTAGATCAGAACATAACTAGCTCTTGTTCAAAGCTTGTAAACTACCTCAAAATTACACACTCCCACTTAGAAAAGACTTTTGTTACTAGGTCTCTTAAAGAACTGGAAAAAAGGACAGAATTACTGTCCTTTTTTATAAAGTGCTACCTAAAGTAAGAGACTTGAACTGTCATTTTTAGTTTCAAAATAAAGGTCTTTTTAAAAAAATCATGGTTAATTCTCCATACCTGTTTTTATTAAAAAAAGAAGGAAAAACAAGACTATATGAGGAAACTGAACTTTCTGGGTTTTGTTGCTTTAAAATTTAACCCTGTGTTGTACTCCTTTTATAAACTAAAGAGTTATACGGAAGAATGTATTTTTCACTGACCTAGATATACTTTTATTGAGTTCAACAGTGTCAAAGCTGTATTTTTTAAGATTCAAGAAGTGAAATATTGTGTCATTTTCATGGATAACTAGGTTACTATATACCAGAACACATGCATAATTTGTAAAATGTATTATGTACTTGTATTATAGGGCTGAAAAGGGAGATGTCTGAGTCTTAACATCTTGGAATATGCTCATCTTGATGAAATAAATCCTCAGCAAGTCTTCAGTAGAAAATAATTTTGCTATTAGTTTTGTAACTAATGAAACCTGGATTCTTTTCTGTTTCTGTCTTGTGGTTAGCTTCTGTGTCTTAAATAGTGAGCTCCAGGCAAAGCTTCTGTTGCATTCATAAAGATATTCTCAGGCTTTCTAGTTTTATGAAGTTTGTGGGAACACAACAGTTGTGAGATCTCTACCTTTCCTGTCAAATTTGGTTAAAATCAGCCAAGAGGTTCAAAGAATAATATACACACACAGAGGGACATGTGCATGCACAGTAACACGTATAAATCTTGTTTCTAGAGGAAAACTTGAGGATTTCCTTTAGCATAAAGAATAAAAATAAACAAACCTATTTGGCATGTTTGAAAATTTACTTGAAAAATACAAAGAATACATTAATTGTTAGTTTTCTAGGTAGCTGTTATAGTTACAAAGTTAAATGAAAAGATACAAATAAGAAAATTTATATATAACTTCCTGAGCTAATGGCAGTATTTGTAGAGTACTGTCTCCTTCCAGTGGATAGAGATTATGTTCTCTGAAAGCAAAGACATGTGACACTTTCGGGTTTTTTTCACTCCTCTAATATTCTTCAATAGAGTTGGAAAACAAACACATTAAAACCAATTATAAAGATATTGCATCAGATCTTTCATATGCTTCAAAGAAGAGAGTTCATACCCAGAAGAGCACATCCTGCTTTTTTGCAAGCTTCAGCTATTCCTGCAATGACACCCTGAGCCACTTCAACGTCAAGTTTGCCACAGGCAAAATAGTCAAGGAAGAAGAGGGGCTCCGCTCCTTGAGCCAAGATGTCATTGACACACATGGCAACCAGGTCCTGACCTATGGTGTCGTGTTTCTTACACACTTGCGCAATCTGCAAAACACAGCAAGAGAACCCGTTGGTCAGCTTTGAGAAAGTGAAACACAAGCAGAGAGTCTGCAGCGGAAAGGGATCGAAATCACACTGTTCCTCTAGATGCTTTTTGAGGAGCAGCTTCATTTATTATCATCTCTGTGAGCCTCTCGCAACATTTTACTTTAAGAATCATTACTTTCTTAATTGGCAAGTACAAAAGGCACTTGATGGAAGGGGACTAAATTGGAAAGGGTTTATTGCAGTTTGCATAAACACAGTAGTAACCACATAATTAAATATTTTTCCCCATGAGTAATCTTTTTCAGGGTGGAAATTTTACCTTAATGTAATGGAGTCCCTGATTACGTACTTAATATTAAAAACAAGTTATTTTAAGCATCATTTCAAGTATGGCTATTTACATGCAAGAAGTTAAATGTATATTTAATTCTTTTGCCTGAAGGAGGGCAATTTTGTTTTTCAATCCCTTTTCAGAAAGACAAATAGGTATTTTCAAAAGACAACTGATATTTTCTGTTGAAACATTTTCCCTTCTGTGCTATTTTCCTTCCTTTAAATGGATTTTCACATTACCTTGAGTTTTGTGCCAACACCATCAGTTCCAGATACCAAGATAGGATCTTCATAACCAGCTGCTTTCAAATCAAAGAGGCCAGCAAATCCTCCAAGTTCTGCATTGCAGCCTGTCAGCCATAAAATGGGAGAAAATAGTAAATTTTTGCTTTCATGGGTTTCTCCAGGATCTCCAACACAAATTCTCTCCAATGTGTGTCAACATGACTTTGCTTTGTCATCAGGAAACTTTTCTGTGACATTTAGAGCCTCTTCACAGAGGAACGGGAGCTCCTAATCTTCCTGTATTTGCTTTTTCTTTTTTCTTCATTATTACCTAAGGCTAAAAATCCAAAACCTTGTGACTGAATATTCAATAATTACTGTGACTGATATATTTAGTATTTCTTTGAGAAACAGAAAAGGAATTGTAGTAACAAATTGAAGCCCACTGCTTCCTGTGAAAAGATGGTAACTAGGCATTTTTCCAAGTGAAATTTCTTATCTCTTTGTTAATACTGCTACTTACAGCATAATAAGACTCCTTGTTCATAAGACGGGTTGCGATGGGTAAGTACGATAACCTTAAAACTACAAGTGGTTAAATCCTAAGAGTGAAACAAACCTGAGCAGAAAATACTATGAATAGTAAGAAATGACTAGTTGTACTAGTGTGTGTGTTTGTATCTATATTTTTCTCTCTATGTACATACGAAGATTCTCAGCTAATTTGAAGTAAAAAGGTTATTACATAAATGAAAAATATTTTAAATCTATCAAAAAAGTTACAAGGGCTTGCTAGAGCAAGAAGTGCCTGAGATCACAACAAAAAAGGATGAATTGATTCTGTTTTAACCAAGCAAAAGATGTGTCTTCCATAGCTATCTCAAATAATAGGTAGCATCTCTGAGGAATTCTACATCTTGTACACCTTTCTAAGCAGTCATCTACAAAAACTGTATAGTTCACTGTGCCAAGAAATAATAGTCCGTGTAATAAAAAATAGCACTAAATGGTAGGATTTTTGCTTGCATTTATCCTTTTAGAGTGCTGAACTGTATTCTCTAATGTTCATGACATTCAGGATATACATTGAGAGTAATTTTGGGAAGAAAATCTGTAAATTTAATGAAGTTTTGAAGAAATCATAGGGATTTGCTTACTGCAGATATTTCTTGTGTAATCTAGAAACATGCAGAACACATATATATGAGCTTCTGTATCAAGATAAAAATCAAATGATAAGCCTCATTGCCATAAACTGACTGAAACAGGAATAGAAGGTACAAGTCTTACCTGACCTTGATGTGGCTGCAGCTAGAGGTTTAATTTTCTGAACCAAAGTATTGCCTGCTGCAATGTCTACCCCACTGTTTTTGTAAGTCAGGCCTCTGAAAGAATGTTAAAACAACTCATTATGGCAATGGATTACTAAATGCACAAACATGTATTTTAAAATAATATTTACTTCTTTGCATCACTAAGGGGATTAACCATTCATAATCCTATTCTGCTGTCAAGTACCATTATTTTCCCCATTTTTACAGTAACTTTGCTCACATAAAATGATTTCTAAGTATTGCAGTACTCATTTCAGGCAGGTTCAATGGCTCAGAAGTTCATCTTTTTGCTGTTTGCAACCTGATCTCAATACATATACATGAGGATAGGGAGTGTTATACCAAAGAAACATGACTACATGAATTTGCACCAGTCTGCCATAAACAGTATTCAAATAGTTCCAGATATCTTAAAAAGAGCACCAGTATCATATGCTATCCAGTCAAATACCAAGATAAAAGCCAACAAAACAAAAAAAACCCAACAGCAAGGTAAAATAGGTAGAATAATGGATCTGATTTTGCAAGGAGTGAATCCATGGTCCAGATACAGAGGCCATCAGTAGCATAGTTCCTATGCTCAAAACAAAATATATACAAAAATACACCACTAAATCAGAACACCTCAGCACCATGCAGGATCAAGCTCATTAGATTTTCAAAATAGAAATATCACATAATCAATAGTCCTCTATGATACTACAACACTTTTAAAATTGTAGCTTAAAGTTTGCCTCTCCTTATCAGCTGGAATGATACTACCACAAAACCGGCCACACATTTTTTACTTAAATGGACTTTGCATTGAAGGATATATTTAAAAGTTAATTTTAATAGACCTAAGTTCCTAAGTTCCATTTTAACATTCTAGAAAGAAATGTTCATAAGCTCTGGGTGTTTTTTTATATACAGCCACACAACAGAGAAAACACACTTAGTACAAACTGGTATATATAATTTGTCTGTGCATATGACTGACTGGGGACATTATGTATCATCTCATATTTACAGAAAGACCTTTTTGTTTCTTAGGTAGTGAGTTCAGTGAGTTTTAATTACTAGTTATACCAAATGTATCTCACTCCATTTAGGCAATTGTTATTTCTCCACTGTCCGTGGTATGATCCAGGTTACCTGGTGCATCCCTATTTTAGGTTCGTACTTATTTTAGCTCTCTTACTGATGTAATTCAGTAGTAAGTTTAAATTCCAAGGGTGAAACGCTGTTGATTAACAAGGTCAAATACAACAAAACAACTGGCCAAGAAGTGCTACCAGGAAAATACAAAGGTATCTGCACTCACGTTGTATCACTGCTCAAAAATTTGCAAGAGGAAAATAATTATAAGAAGCAGCTGTTCAGCCTGTGAACAAGACTCAAGGAAATACTAGCCTGCAATAACAAGAGACTGAAGTCAGCCCTCTCAGTCTGAACATGATAAATATTCAACATATTTTCACCTTATTTTTAAATGCACAGTATCTACTTTGATTCTTTAAACATATTTTTAACTATTTAAATTTTCTTAAATATTTTTATTAAATAAATATTCTGGATATTTTCACAAAGTGAAATGCATAGGACTTAACCCTGCAAAGCTGCCAAGAGGAGGTGAGTCTCCAACTTTACGGAGCCAACCATTACTTCCCCTAACTGTGTGCAACACAGAGTCCACAATGAAATGTGCCTGAATATCTGTTCTTCCAGTTTTAGGATGTCTGAGCAAAAGTTGGTGCAGACTCAACGACAGTGAAACAGGCACTGACTGCCAACAGTCCCCAGGAGTCCCCTTCATAAGATAGAGATCCTCCCAGCATACAGGCACTCCAGTCAAGAAACTTGCTGGCTATGGCCTGTGAACTCAGTGTTTTAGAGAACTGTTCATTAAAGTACCTTCTCCTGTTGCCTCATACACTGATCTGATTATTTTCTACTACAATACAAACACCAATTACACATTTTCACAAATTTCTCAAAAGATGCACAGTACTTGAGAGAGAAAGAAGACTAAATACGAATGCTCTTGTTCATGTAATAAGTTTATTGATCATAATTTTACAATATACTAATCAGTGTGCACTGTCAGCAAAAATGGAACTCTTACTAATATGCTTCACAGACTATAAAATCACCTCTTATCAAAAGTTATGTTTTGGACTAATTAGAGCATAGGAAGACAGATATGCTTCATTATTAGGCAAAAATGAGTCTAAAAACCCGCAAGAAGCTCTCAATAACATTAGAGAGACAGTAAGACACACTGCTTTAAAAAAAAACACCTGCACCCATATAATCTCAAGACTGTTAAAACAAATACTGTGAAAATAAAAGGAATAATAATAAAGAGGAGCAATAAATCCTACCCATGTTGTAACTCAGCTATCCATTAAAATGCGTATCCTGACAAGGTAGGTGTTTCAAGATCATTGTAATAATTTCTAAAAACTCTAACATAAACCAAAATAATAGCTCAAAGCTTATTCATATGTATATTTCATGATATTAATATCAGACCTATGGGCAATAGAAATCTAGAGCAAAAGCTGTGGTTTAAAGCCCAAGAACCAGAACTTCACCCTCCCTGAAACAGGTATAACAGACATTAACAGTACAAGTTATTCCTATGTGCTTGTCACTGTAGTTTAACTCAGTCTTGGGAGAAAAAGAACATGGATGAGAGAGCCATCAAAAAGACTTGTCTGGTCTTGCTTAGATTGCTTTCAAGAATGGTAGTTAAAACTTGTCTAGTTATATATAACATCAACATCAGTTTGTTAATGTAAACTAGTGATGTCTTTAAGCCCCTTTTACACCAGTTATTTCCATTTGAAGTATTTCAAATATCTACCTGGATTGTCTCAGGAAAGCTATAGCCCGATAACCAATGTCCTTTCTATAAATGGCACCCTTGAAGTGTATGGCTGCTACTCCCTTGTTGGCCTCTTGCAGTGCTGTCATTAGATCCTCTTTAATAGCAGTTACTGTAAGGACTCTTCCTCCACTAGTGACCACTTTGCCATCCTTCAGGGCTGTGCCTGCATGGAACACCTCCAATCCTAGTTGCTTAGCCTTAGGAAGTCCTGTGATTGTTGTTTAAGAAAATAAATGCAGAAAAATCAACTGATTAGAACATTCTCTATCAAATTACAAATGAACAGATATTAAGCACTTGACTGTGTCTAAAAATCACAATCAGTGTGATCATGCTGGGAAATAGGAAAAAAATTGTGAAAACTACATTTTGAGGAGAGACAAGTCTACTACTTGTATGCTCAGAGACACAGGAAGAGATATTTAGCTGAAATATCTGCATACAACATTATTTCCAGCTGGATTTTATACTTCACTGACATAGAGACCATAAAACTTACTAGCATCAACATGTAAGAATCAGTGATCAGCCCGGAACTACTTTACCGTAACACATATTAAAGAAATGCTACAGAACTTAACAATATAGTGTGGAGAAGCGAAAATACAGTGGGTGCATTACCAATAAACTCTGATGTGTGAAAATTCAGTTGTCTCTTGCTGACCCATAACCACAAGATCTATAGTTTCTATGAATCTGATTTACACTGATTCACCTTCATCTGGCAAATGAGAGAATGGAAGGAGGGCAGGAGAGGAATCAGACTTCTGCAGGTTCTCCTGCTATATTTACCTGTTATTTCCAGACCCTTGGGATATATTCCTGGATACCCTTCACTAGCCATGACCACTGTCACAGCTGCACTGTCTTCAGACCAAACTGGCATGGAACTAGACAACTTTTTATTGATAACCGCTTGCATAACTTCATACAAATCACTTTTCAGCAGTGGAAGAATTACCTACAAAAATACAGATTAGCAAATTAAAGAAAACAATGTGCATTGTTAAATTTTCTTCATTGAGCTTTTAAAAATACTAATGCAACTGTAAAAAATAACATTAAATATGTTCATATACTGTATTTTCACACATACATATATACTGTGCATAATCTATGTACCTTTAAAAATACTCTTCCTTGAAGATAATTTCTATGGGTAAAAGAACTGCTATATATGGAGGGAAAAAACAGAGGCTCAAGAACCCTATTTGTTATGAAGAATAGACATGAACGGTTTTGTTCCACTTGTCAACATTGAGTGGGGAAAAGAAGCATTCACTTTAATACAGAAAAAAAAAATCCAACTCCATTCCAGAAAGGATAGGAAAGTTCTGAGTTTCACTCAAGCTTCCCCTTGTAAAACCCATATTTGAGTATAACCTGCTGAAATCTCCTCTGGAATGGAACAATTTCATAACAGACCTTACCTCTTGAATAAACAAAACAAATATTTTAAATTCCAGTGCAATTCACTAATTATTCATCCAAAGTTAGTTAGGAATAATGGTAGATGGTAACAGACTTTTCTCCTCCCATAATGCCAAACTGTATCTCCCTACAAAATAACTCACCTGACATTCTGGGTCACCAAATCTACAGTTAAACTCAAGAACTTTAGGTCCATCTTTGGTAAGCATTAATCCAGCATAAAGCACACCTAGAATAAAAAATTATATGAGAAGCTATCTAAGCAACTGCATAAGTCATCTGTTTTGAATCTATTCATAATAGTGTTAAAGTGGATGCCCCCTATGCTCATTTAAAGGTAGGATGTTAACACTTGAGAAGTGTTAAAAATAAATCAGGCAGAAATAGTTGTGGTTAAAATTTTGCAGCTTATTTTCAAATGTTCTCCTTTCTGTTCTTCCTTACTTGATGATTAATCACTGTTAATGAAATTATATTCATTGATTTCAGTGGACTCTAAATCAAGCCACTGATACCAAATCCAGCTTCCAAATTAATCAGTTATCATCCTTAACTTAAAGTGTAAGTTAGGCCTATAAAGAGGACAAAGTAAAAAAAAAAGCCTTTCTCCTTATGATTAAGAACCCAAACTTTTGTACATACCAAAATAGGGGACGCCTTCTTTCCTCATGCCATCAACAGTTTTCTGAAGAATAGTATCTCTTATTTTCTGCAGTAAATCTTTAGAAATCTATTAAAGCAGGATGAGAAAACAGTGTTTGTAAAAAGGGAGTGCATTTTTCCTGTGATAGCTAGTGTTTTTAAGAGCCAAGCAGAACACCTGGATGGCCTGTTGCTCACTCCAAAACATTTAATACAATGGAAAGCTAGGTTTTTTTTTTTCTTTCTCCTCAGACAACATGCCGCAGCATTAATACAAACGTGCACATTTCTTCAGACACTTTTCCATGCTTAGATCTACATGTGCAAGCAATCCCACTGGCTTCACTGGAGCAAACCATTTGCACAGATACACAGGAATTTACAAAGACAAATCACAGCTGGGAAGCATAGTGATCAATGATCACATTTTATTCAATAAACAAAATTAATATATTTATAAAGGAACAAACCCCATATTTTTTAAAATTAAAAAAGAAAAATCACTGGTAATGACATAGGTGAAGAAAAAGAAAAGTAAGTCCTTTTGCATATGGAAGTTCCTTGCCAAGCAAAAATGTGTCATTAGTTTAATTCGGCACAAGCTAAAAATATGGTTTTAAGTACTTGGTTCTAATGATCAGTATTTCGCAACACTTAAAAAACAAATAAAAATACAAGGTTGCAGAAATAACAACACTTCCACCTTTATAATTACAAGTAATGGAGTAAAAATATCCTTCTCTCCAGAGAAATAAATTTATTAAGTTACAGACTTTATTTGACTATGTCTGGTTTAGGCAACTCTTTCCATCCACAAGAGCTCACTCTCTCCTGTTCACTAAAGTGGAACTAAAAATTCACATATGCTTCCAACAGTAGAGCTGTCCTACAGCTGTAGTGAAACAACTCCTTATCAGTACAGTTTTACCTGAGGTGCTGGGGAATAAGCTCCCATTCCTCCAGTGTTAGGGCCTTCATCTCCATCCATTAATCGCTTGTGGTCCTGGGCTGGAGGCATGGGAGCAATTGTGATGCCATCAGTGAAACATAAGCACTAGGAAACAAGGAGAATAATTAAAACTCCAGTGTATGATTAAAATTAAAGTGCAAAAGTGCAAATATATTTGAACTTCAGTGTTGCAAATGGATATTTAAGAGTCTAAATTCTGTCTTCCTGATAAACTACAGTATTCTAAATATTTCCCTTTTCCCTTGGGAAACAGTGCCTCATTTTGGTGTGACCATCCTACAGAAATTACCTTTAATATAACATATAAAAAATTATAACATACATCAGTAGTTGTACTGAAAAGAAATACTCAAAAGGTTAAAAAAAAACATAATTAAAATATTCCACAATTGAAACTACTTCTTCCCTCCCACTTCCTTCTTCCTGTCCCAGAAGGAAGGCATTACATTCCTTTCAAGATTTCTTTTCCTTGCTGATAATACTATTTAATTTTGATTTATTTATAAATTACTTATATAGCAGATGCTTTTATGCTCAATATCTTCATAGCAATAAGCCTGATGGCATCTTCTGTAACTGGATGATGATCTTCACTGTCTGGACTACTGCTAGCAGCACTCAAAAACATTTTATAGTGCTAATTGTAAAACAAGCAAGGATTCCCCTACAAAACCTGAAAATGACAAAATATTAATATATTAAATACTACAGCCATTTTTTGGAAGGTGAGTTATTTTGACAGGTAAGGCAAGCAGTATGTTTTCTTCATGTTGTCAGTCACTACAGGAAAAAACCCTTTAAAATGTGTGTTTATATTATTGTGTTATATTACAGTAAGTCTGCTAGTATCCTAAGAACTAATTAAGAGCATTACATGTTTTCCACCAGAGAATGAAGATCTGGATAACCCCTTAGTTCCTAAAAAGGTCAAGACAACCAGGAAGGAAAAAGGATGACCAATATCTGCACATCTAATTTCTTCAAGCAGGAAACCAGACTATGCAAAGATTGGCAACAGTTGAAGATGACGGCTTACTTTATAAATACCACCACCTCCAAGATGAATGTTCACAACATCCAGCATAAGTCAATTCCAGCTCCAGGACCCAGGAACCTGAGCTGGCACTTGGCTGTTCTACTTTGTGTGATGCAGGTGTCAAGTTGCCCTGCCACCTCAAGACCTAGGCTCTAATTCACCTTTTCTCCTTCACACTCTGCTAATTAAATCAGATACACTTTTATAAATTAAGGAGCTCAATCACTTTAAAATGAAGGAAATGTTCTCTATACATCTGCAGAGTAAATCAACACTGTCAAAACATTCAGCAGCCTTTGGTTCCAGGTCCTTTGTCCCTGGGTGCACTTCCACACTGTAATATCTCTGGCAAGGAAACTGGTAAAAGAGGATCCTGCCTGAGCCTGTCTTGAGTTGATTGTTCCCTTGCTCCAGAGGAGTTTACTGCTCCCTCATGATGTAGTTCAGCATATTCTCTTCATGAGCAAAGCTGATTAAAGAAAATCTCCATCCTCCCTTTCTGCCAGCCATTCCCTGCCTTGCTCTGCACTTCCCTGTTACTGCACTGATTCACATGGCACTGTGCTCTAAACCACAACACAGAAAACATGAAAGGTGGTGTTGCTGATTTCTTTGAAAGAAGGTCTTTAGGTTGTAGCTTCACGAACAGGTAACTAATATAACTGAATCGAAGACAAATGGCAGTGAAGAGATAGCAATGTGGAAGGGAAGGGACATCTTATACTGTCTCTGCTGCCATTTTTAAGATTTTATTTTTTTTTCCCATGTGGCAACAGCTGATTACGTTTTGTTGTTTTGGGGTTTTTTTTAATTTGAATTATTTTAACAGACTGCAGTAAGTCTGGTTCTTAACACAGCTGTCTAATACAACTTTATTTATAAATAGGTAACTGTTTTTAAGTAATAAAATCCTATATATCCCTGCTGTAGGTACTCACACAGTGTTACCTAAATAGTTTAGAACAGGTATAATCAAAGTGTTACAGTGAGATGCACACTTACAGAAATTTCTTCTCCTTCAAGAAGTTCTTCAACAACAACAGTTTCCCCAGCTGTGCCAAAAGTCTTATCCTACAGTAAAACCAACATTTTTTTAGTTCTGTTTCAGTTATTTTAAACTATTTAAAATGCAACAAGAACAAATATTTTTAGTACAGCAAGAAAAATGCAACACAGTTTTGAGACTATTAATCCATTCTCCACCTTGGGTATGTCAGCAATGGTAAAATCTTTGCCCCTTTTTTCTGTTTATTCTTAAATAAATGCAGATTTTATGTTTGAGCATTTTAAATTGCAGATATTTATAACTTACTGAGCAATTCTTCATGCTTTACCTTCTGAAGTTTGCATTCATGATACTGGACTAATCCCAATGTCTGTCAAGTCTATAATCTGAACTTTAATTTATAAGAAAGTCCAATTCTATAGAATACACTGGAAGGGGGCAATATTTTCATATTCCAGTGCAATGTTCTAACACTGACTGCATATTCAGGCAATTAAGAACAACCAACTCCAACTGACAAAAATATTTTGTGCATCTATCAGACCCTCTAACATACATTTTTTTTGTTCAAGACATTGGGCCACATGCTAAGACATGTATTTATCCAATAACCATACAGACACAACAAAATATGAGTGCAGACTCTATATTCTAACTCATGAAACAGAAGAGTGTCTGACAACATCTCCTGTGAATCAGCATAGCTTCACTGAATTGTAAGATGCTGTGCTGCTGACACCAGCTAAGGACCTGACCTGTATGTGCTGTATTTTCCAGCTCTATGTTCCTAACTGTTCAGATTAAATTGCTTCATTTTGCTGCTCTTCAGATTTTGATGGTCCTAATATATTTGTTGAATATCCTACCTAAATGTATACTTAACTTGAAAAAAAATTCCACTGGAATTCTACTGCACGTTTAAGTGCGTGTGACTGGAGTCTTAAAGCTGATGTTGCTTGCAAGATCCAGCTCAATCACAGTGTTAATATTACAGCATTGTAGTACCTGTTTGATCGCAGCAGTCTCAAAAATGGTACACCCTCCCACCCCCAATTAGCAATACATATGGAAATAAGTGTGGGTTTTCATTAAGAATTATTTTATTTCAGTCTATAGGAACAATGCCTAGAAAGAGTACCCTGCCCCAAGCAATAAATATGACAGAGCTTCCTAGCTGTCCAAATAATGGATAAAAGATTTGATGTCTTTCAGTCAAGTTCTTATTACACAGAAATAAAGAATATCTTTGAAACTCTGAGATGTTAACAACTTATTTTGTGTGAGAACTCCTCCAGTTAGTGCATGACATTTCTACTCACCTGCATGATTTCAGTAACAGCTTTGCAGGCTTCTTCCTTGTTTGAAGCCACAACTACTCCTTTGCCAGCTGCCAGGCCACTAGCCTTTACAACTAAAGCAGGGAAGTTTGCACTTCAAAGACAGAGAAGAGAGATTCAACAGTAAACACTCTATATTGCAAATACATTTTGTAGGCATTTTGAACATTTCAATAGTTGAAAGATCAAAATACTTATCAGTTTTCATAGCAATCGTTTTACCTTATTGAATAACACACAAATGAAAACAAGGCTTCTCTCATTATGCTATGCCCATGAAGGATTTCTGCTTCCTGTTCTTTCCCCACCACTGAATTTCATTACTGTTCTGAAAGGTTGCTTTCCTTTTAATAATTTACTGTTGTATCATTTTTGGGTCACCTGGATTGTATTTTGATGAGTAGATCATAATTTGCTGCGTAAGTCTCCAATGCAGAATTTATAATCTTGGAGAAAAGGTACAAAGAAGGCAGAATATATGACTATCAGTCTGCAAGCTGGGTTTCCACAGTAGGCGAAATAAAAGCTTGTCCTATATTCTCCTGTAAACTGAACCCTGAATATTATTTTCATTTTAGAGCAGTAAATAAGAACCATCTAATTGTCAGACTTATTGCAGTGTGATAGTGTCATATCAGATTATCCTTTAAAACTTCTACAGATGTTCTATGACAGCCAAAAGTATTAATAAATTAGTAATCATCTGATTGTTTTGGATACCTAGCACATTGTACTTTGCTGTAAAAAAAAAATATTTCTAAAACGACAAAAACTTTACCTGTTAATAAAGCTACATGCTGCTTTAGGATCAGTAAAAGATTTCCATCTTGCAGTTGGGATCTCATGACGATCCAAAAAGGCTTTGGTAAAGCTCTTACTGGACTCCAGCTGAGCTGCCTTTGATGTTGGACCAAAACACCTTACTCCAGCTGCTGTCAAGTCATCAACAATTCCTAAAAATGACAACACACAAAAAAAATTGTAAATCACCAGACGATTTATAGGAAACATGTAGTCCAAGTCTACAGATGCACTGATTCATTGGAACAAGTATGTCAGGAATGATAAGCCATATATATCTAGCCAGGACCTATTTTATCAGATGGGCCTTAGATGCATTCTTCACTGTAACCATGAGCAGGTAACCCTGCTGTATCTGGGGCTAAGAAGATCTGCTACATTTGGTAAACGATTACAATTCCCCCTTGTTTTATTATAGTTTTTAGCTACAAAGTAGATATTAGCCTTTTGTGAAGATGACAACTGTTGATCATGTGAAAGGTTAAAACACAAAAATTGACAGCATGTTTATTAATTTTTTTAGCCAAGTCTCAAATTATTATGATTTCAAAAAATGAAAAATCCATAGGAAAATCAAAAGTCTAGTTAGGTTCCTATAGGAAACACTTTGATGCCTCTTTTACTAATCCCAAGCACTTCAAAAGAAACTGAATATTTAATGATATTTTAACTGTTATATAGCTCGCACAGTACCCTTCAGAAATTCATTTTCATCACAGTACAACCCTGAATTTCAGGATTCTGCTATGGAGAATCTGTTTTCATTCCTACTGAAGACACTCAGATAGTGTGAGTGATGTACAGAAGATGGTGACTAAAATTTACTTTTCTTCCTAAATTATGAAGGCTATGAATTTTAGCTTGCTTTATCTTACCAGCAGCAAGAGGAACCTCTGGACCAACCACGACCAGTCTGATCTCCTGATCTCTGCAGAACTGGGCAAGTGCAGCATGATTGCTGACTGAAACAGCTGTCAAAGATACAAAAGAGTGGTAAGACTGCATTCATTACTGTTGCTTAGCACTTATTTATCACATAACACTGAAGCAGCATTTTCACCAGTCTCACATTATTGAATGGCATGTTACTGTGAATCTGGAAGAGTGAGGAAAACACTAATATATAAACACAAGGCTTAGTCCAAAGACATGGGCACAGGCTGTGGTTTGACATGCATTGTCAACCCACCTTGCTTTTGAAGGTGAGAAAAGAAGTTTTGGGTTTCCCTACACTGCCATACAATAAACTGGTATCATCTCTAGGAGCATCCTGTTTGCCAGCACAAGAAGCATTGTAAAGGATCCAAGTGAAAAATAACTCACAAGCAAAAAAAATATGCATGTTTTTCAGCCATTCTCCTCCCTGAATAGGGTCACCATGAAGCTTTACACATTTGTGTCATCATGGTGTAGGGGACAGGAACAACACAGGAACAACTGAGTGGTGGTGGGATTGCAACTGCTTTCTTCTTTCCTTCTTTCTGTAGTGCCAGCTAAAAATTGCCGCACTAAACTGACCCCACTGAAACAAAGGGGAATCTGAACATTTTTTCTTACATTAGTCTGAATTTAATAAGGCAGGTGCTGTAATTATGGGTGAGGATATTTGGTCTTAGGTTTTTATGACCATTATATTTCCATAAATAAACATTTAATATGACCATACTTGGAATGTCAAAAATTGTGTAACAAAAGAAAAAGCTTGCATGAAAGACAATCATGTCAAGTCTCATGATAAAAAATTTACGCAAAGGCAATGCAATGCCACTGCTTTTATCAAGAATAAATAAAGCCAAGGTCTACAGGGGATGGGAACACGAACCTGGAGAGAGCCAAAAAAGCAGGGAGCGTGGCCTGGCATGGATTGGCTGACCCTGTGGGGAGGAGACTAACACATTAGGGCACAAAGCTGGCAAAGGGGGCACAGCACAGCATAGCACAACCCCTCCTTGCAGCTGGACTACTTTGTTTTAAGTTGTCTGTGAACTTCTGTTAATGACTCTACTGGCAAGCATACCAGGAGCAAGTTTCCGGGGAAGTGATGAGAGAGAAAGGAGAGGCAGTGAGTGATACTGCAGTTTCTGCTGGACAAACAGACATGATTCTGTGTCAGTGCCCACTGTGCTCTTGCCATCCTGTATGAATAAACTGCCTGCTTCCACAAGAGAAGCAGCTATTTCTGCCTAAGAGATGGCATAAAAGCAACTATCTGAAACCTACATTTTGGTTATTTACCCTATTTGGGTGGAGTGGGGTTAAAAAACAGCCTGAACACTAATAAAAATTACCTCCTTGAAACCTATTTAATAGTTCAATTATTTTGCTCCACCAACATTTGTAAGTAAGGAGAAGCAAAGGCCTTTGACTTCTGTGTGTAATTTATGCCAACTGACTTCTGGCTCACAAGAGAGCAAAAACAAAAGCATAACACACTTGGCTTTAAAGTACTGATTAACATAAAGGTCAATATTGTCTTTCAGTCCCATGGGGCTGTTGTGAAAGCAGCTGGAGAACAGCAGATCCTGGTCAAAGAGAATAGGAGCTCTGGTGGGCAACTGAAGAGGGACAACCTCTGTTCCCTGCAAGATTAATCCACGTGAAGGGGAGCAGGGAAACGAAAGAGCCCATCAGGTGACTGAGCTTTTCATCCCCAATTCTCTTGTCACAGGTCTGATCTACTACTGGTATCAACAGTGAATATGGCACAAGATTTTTCTGATGTGGAAATGTCCTACTAACAAACAGAAAAGAATAAATCACATTGTCAATATAGAATTTTAACTTTTCCCCCAAACATGATTTTCCTCACGATGTAGACTGAAAGGGGGACATTTTTGAAGCCGTGTTTCATTTCTCAAAATGACAGCTAAACATTCCTTTCAAACCAGACAGAAGGACCTTGGACCAAGGTTTTCCAAGCTGGACCTTAAAGTTAAGAGCATAAGTTACACTGACAGCTAAAATGTGATGGAAGGAGGTGTCAGGATGCTAAAGTCCATTCACAGACACGCATATGTCTACCTGCGGATTCAGCAAACCATTCTGTAAGCTCTGGGCACCACAACTGCCCTGCTAATTAAATATAAATTTAATATAAAATTATATTTAGTCACTCAACCTAAATCTGTCTTTATTGTCAGAAACAATTACTGACTCAAATTAGCCATGAAATTTTTTTTTTTCCACTTAGATACAGGCAAAGTTTGAAGGATTTAAGGTTATTTGCAATTTTAAGATCACCTTTATGTTTCAGAAATCATCTGAGAATCAGAGTTGCAATGTTAATTAAAGGCAATCTCATGAACCATGAAAGGAGGATGAACTTTCAGAGCCAAATCTTGATTATACCGAAAAAAACAAGAAACAATGGTAGCAGTTTCACAGACATTGTTGCCCAGGCTCACACAATATAATAGGCCTCACATGATTCTGTAAAGCTGTTTTCCATTTTTTACCCTGGGTTAGAATCTAGATCCTAGTCGTAGGACTAAAATGCCTGAGTGGATAAGACAAATTGTTTCCTTAAAAACCAAACTCTTCACAAATTCTAGATTGTTTCCTCCTCCTGGTTGGCTGAGGATTTCTCTCCCAAAGTACATGTGAGCCCATAGTCTAGAAAAAAAGAGCATTATTATGCACGTGCTCAAATACTTTCCACTGTTGAGGGTGCAATATTTTTTATGGAATAACAGGTGAGAGAAAAGCACATCTGTTTTTAAAAGATACCACTTGTGAAAAAGTACTGAAATTAACATTCTACAGGCCATACAGACTGGCATTGACTCCATTTTGCACAAGGGTAAAGATTTTTGTTTGACTTTCGGGGATAAGAAGGAAATAGGACTTTCGTGTCAGGTTCTTCGTTGAGCCCTCAGAGGCCAAATAGAACAAAAAACTACTTACGATACAGTGACTAGTCAAAGAAATTAAGGACAAAGTTATTTAAACAGCCTGTAATTAAGCATTCCAATGGAATTAAATATGATAATTACCTGCTGTACAAGAATCTGACAGGATTCATGTTTCCACATGAGATGGTAACAAAAAGATTTTACTCACATGGAAATACGAGTGCAGAAAACTGCTGTATATAATTCACATTCACATGCATACTATGTTAACTTTAATTCTGTATGTTATCATGTTTTAAAGTGGAAACTTAAGTTGGTTGTCTAAAGTACCTAACTCAGAATCTGTTATATACAGGGCACAAGATGGGAATCTCTGAGTAAATACCCCTGGTTTTATACTGATTCATTGTGTGCCTCCAGGTAAGCACCTTAAACAAGTATTTTTTTTTTAATGCAGCACATAATTTTGGATGCTCAATTTGAAATACCTTAAGCTTGATTTCTCAAAACTAATGACTATGAATAGTTTGAATTACAGCAATCAGAGCTTAACATATTAAGCTACAACCTCAAAATAGGCAGTCAATACAAAGAGAGAAACATTTGAAAATAACCTTAACTTCTTAAGGTCAATAAGACAACGGAACAAATGTTCTTCTATGGTTGAACATTTCAAGTGAGTAAGTATTCTCATCAAAGGTTGTAGAGATCACAGGGCTTCAATGCACTTCTGAGAATATAGTAGTGAATTTAGTACTTTAGGTGCTGGCACTTGCTTGAGGCACTTTTCAGCTGTTCACCAACCAGCTGTAGAACTGCAGTGGGTATCAAGAGAAACCACCACCCTTTCCCTGCTAAGCTGCTGGGAGGTGGGAGCCACAGCAGCTATCCTGAGCTGTATTCCCTGAGGAATGGGCATCAGACAGATGGGAGTTTTGGCTGCATCCTCCATCCCCAAACCTAAAGAATTAGGTATCACAACTGAGATCATATAAAATGAGTGGTAGTTGCACAAGGCTTTGCTCAGACTTTTTTTTCTTAACTGCATTTATATGATCAATTTCACATGTCCAAAACGTTAAAAAATAGTAATAATAATAATCGTATTACAGCTGTGCTTTCAGATTGATGAATAGAACTTACTGGTTATCAAATTGAAAAATGGTATTTTTTTGGTTTTACCTGAGTTGGAAATTTTTCCATTATCAGCTGTTCCTGCATTTCCTGGAGCAACAAACACATGCTTTACATGTGGAGACTGGGCCAACTTCCAGGCCAGCGCATGCTCTCTCCCTCCACTGCCAATCACAAGCACTTGATCAGCCATTAGTCTGCATAAAACCAGAAGCAAAACAGCCAGAATTAGCGGCGTGAAGTTAGGAAAGCAAGAGCTTCACAGACCATGGTTTTAAGTGTTGGGTGCAACACAGCTCACAACAGAGGTGAATGTCACTTTGTTTCAGGCAACAGTATTTCTAGAAGTGTTTTATTGGTTAAAAAAAACCCCAAACAAACAAGAGATGTACATGAAAATGGATAACTGACTTAATCAGATGTGATATAAACTAAATGTCAAAGATTGAACTGCTCCAGAACACAGAAGTAACCTGGAGGACAACCCATCCTGGTTTTCCTTTAGTCAGATTGGCAAATACTTCAAGTTATATATAAGTCTGTGATATATGAAAAACCCTTATGATGTCCAGGCTGTGATGTGTAGCCTATAGAAATTCCTGAAGAATTCAAGTCTGCAAAGAGCAAAGCCCATTTGATGAACTAACTGTAGGAACACAGTTTTACAGTGTTAAGAGCTGAATAGGACCACTCAAGAGTTTTAAGAGGCAGTATCTAAAAGAGCTCTAAATACTTTATGAAGAGGAAAGGCTGAGTGATGAGACAGGGAAATCATCTTCCAGCTCTGGCTTTCCTTAGGAGAGAACAACAGCAAGGCAAACAACAAGGATGACCAGGTGTCATTAATAAAGGAGCTGGCTCTGAGAAGGTACTGCTGGACATCCACTCCTTTCTCCCATTCCATGGAGTTTTAGAAAAACACATTAACACTATTTTGGCCTGTGGAAATAGATGTAGGAACGAAAGCTGCAATTTCATTACAATTTTAAACTGTCCAAAACTTTTTCAGCAGTTTGGAAACAAAATGGTCACAAAAATGAAATCTCTCAGTTTCACTCTCCCTATGTCATTATTTGTGTGTGTACACATAACTTACACATATTGGACTGATGTCAATATTACAATTTTTTCTTTGAGCAGCTTTGAAAGTTAGCCTTTGCTTTTTAAGATATGTTACTTCTATGCATATTCTCTACATATTTACTGAAGTATGTCACCTCAGAACTGCTATCCTGACAATGATATCACACAGCTAGCAAGGGAACAGAAGAGTTCACTTTCACTGAAAAAACCCACTGGAATTCAGAAAATAGCATAATAAAGAAATAAGTACATAATTTATAAAATATGTACCTATGTCTTTATTTGGAATTCACCGAGAAGCAAAGGCTAGTCTCCTAAGCTATTCAAAGAATAATCTGTTAGAGTCATATTAGTTCAACCATATATAAATTACATATACAAATGATGTCACTGCACTGGTTAAAGTGAGAGTTTTATTCACAGAAGTCAAACAGTCCCTGAAGAAGCAATTCAGCAGAGCAGTGAGCAGCTACAAACTGGCAGGTGGTCTTAAGCCCATGTGCAGCATGCACTACTTGCAAAAAATAACCTGAGAACTATAAATCTTAACATATGCAAAATAATAATCTAAACCTCTAAAAAATGGCTTAATCATTGTAAGTAATGAGAATAAACAAAAACAGTTTTGTGCTGAAAATGGCACAATTTATTCAAAGGGCTTTGCATGGCTAGCAAATAGGTCTGATGTGTCCCTCTGCTGTGTTAATCACATCCCATTCATCGGGAGGAGGAACACAGCTCAGTTAAGAGTTCTAGCCAAAAGGAACAACCCACCTCCCTGATGTAATCCCTGCACACGTAACACACAACCCTTGGTCGCTCCCTGTGCCTCTTCCATCAAGCAACTGGTCACTGACCTGTGCTTGCCAATGTGTACAGTGCCTCCCAAGGCAAGCTCAGAGGAAAAATCCCCGACACACACACACAATGTACTTTGAATACACTCAGGTCATAGCTCCATTTCTAAGAGTAGTGAAAACTCAGATCTCCTCTGTGGTCCTCTCCTTTGCGTGAGGACAAGAGAGGATGACTAGCACAAAGCACATCTTAAACAAAAGAGGAAAAAAAAAAAAAAAAAAAAGGATTTCTAAGGGAGAAGCAAAAAGACATGATAGAAAGCAGTTTTTCAGTCAACTGATAAGGCAGGGGTGTGTGCCTCTCCCTCCTGCCAGCTGCTATAGCTGGACTTGTTGATAGCTCTGACCCTGGTGAAACCCGTCCTTTCTGAGGACCTGGACTACACAGGAGACAGCTTCTGCTCTGCAGGCACTATGTGATGCATCTGGTGAGCCTGATTTTTAAATCCAAGCCCTCTGTAATAAACTTTAGACAGGAAGAGCCCACACGTTTTAGAAGGTATTCCTATGCCATTTGCTACTGTATTTTAATCCATTAATGAAGGAATGATTTGTTCAGAGTGATACTTTTAGGCAAAACATCCAGTCAGAATAAAGACAAAATAAACATGAATAGAAGGATAAAATACAGAAAATTAATACCAAGTTGTTCACTATGAACTAAACAACTGGAGGTAAAATTTAATAGTAGTTTCAGGCTGGGGGGGGCACCAATAACTTTCTAATCAACAGTGTCTGACAAAATATACATGTTGCAAAATTGCAGAGATGTTTGAATTACAAAACTCCATGATTACTTACAATAAAAAAAACATGTTGGATTAAAAATCATCAGTTATGATATACATAGTTGGGACACCAATTTATGCTAAACCTCTTATATTACAATTCAAGCAAAAAGAAAAGATAAAAGAATAAGGGATTGGCTTAATGGATGAATTAGATAAAGGCAGTAGTAACCTAGGACAGAAGAGTGAAATATAAAAGAATAAACATTTATCATGTAGCAGGCAGCTATCTCCAACTTAACTATACAAACAAGCACATTTCCAGTGCTGTCCAGGGAGTCATCATTAAATTGTAACTTTTAAGGCCAATTTTATCAATAAGAAGTTGAACTATACACATTACAGTTTTCTTACAAGTACCTCAGAACTGAGTGCAGAGGTTTAAACCCAAACAGAGAACATACTCACTCTATCCTACGTGCTGCCAGTTTGAGGAAAGTAGTACTCAAGAGTTCAGATGAGCAAAGAGAAAGGAGATAAGTAGCCTCTGGTTAAAATGTAGTACCCCTGTCCCAATATTACCACCCCATTGACGACACTGTGCAACTAGCCAATGAACGGGAAAGTCCAGCCATTCCAGCTGCAAAGAGGGGACAAACTTGCATACAAATAGTCTAGGAGTGAGAAGCAAAAACTTTGCAGAGCAGGAGCAGCACATCCTGTTGTTTCTAAACATGCAAAAGAAATTCTGTACCACCCCAGGTATTTTTTGCAGTTAAAAACGTTTTACTTATCAGATTGTAAACATTGTCTTTTTATCTAAAAATGAGGCTATGCACTTTGGCTATGCATAAAAATGAGGCTATGCATAGTCCTATCAAGAGTATGAAAGAATAAAGTTCATAATGTACATTCACACTCCATTAAGCCTACTGCTTAAAAATAGCAGGACAGGCTTGAAGATCCAGTGACACTGTTGCCAGCTAAAGTAACTCACCATGCTAGCAACTCAGTCAAAGAATCACTTCCTTTTTTCCCCTCAAGTAACATATTCTAATACTACTGTCAGCTGGAGAAAAATTAATAATATACATCATAAAGTTTTATATGGGTGCAAGTAAATAGAACAAGCCATGTATCATATGTTCAAATAAAATTTAACCATTTTATAACAAAATGTGAGGAAGAAATAAGTATCAGCCATTTGTTTTGAAATTCAGTGCTATTTGTGCATCCCACAAGCGGTATCTTAGCAACTTTTACTTAGGGATGAAGCTAGAGAAGAACTTCTGGTGGCAAGTCCCATTTAGGAAGCTCAAATCTAGCAGTGGCAGCCTTTCTTTTTCACACTGACATAGAAAGATGTTGTGTAGGCCCTCTGCTGCCCAGCAAGATGTGGCATTAAAAATGAAAATTCCAAGAGGCGACATTTCTTTTTATTTTTGTCACTAATTCAGGAGTCAATAATTTGTTCTCAAAACACCAAAAGCCATTCACAAGGTAGATATTTCTTCTGTGAGGATTATCACACACAGAGGTTTTTTTGGAAGCAATATGTGAAATCCTTAAAGATTCCAAAACGGTACATAATTATCTTCAGCAAGCATTGTCTGCTATAGTAAAGAAGGAAGATATGTTTGTTTAAAAGATGTTTTAAAATAAAGACATGGCATTTCAGACAAGGGTCTGTTACTGAGTCCTTATATGAAGTAAGAACAGAAAAGCAGAAAGAAGATAATCACTCCGTGTATCCATGAGAATAAAATACGAGGATAGAGTGAAGACAAGTCGATTTCCAAAGCCTATCCCTGAGGTTGCCAGTAGTAAGTCAATAGGGACGAGCGTCAGACTAGAGATCTTTATTCTCCACAAAAGGTAGGGCTCACCAAGAAGCTGGGCAACTCTTTCACTAGGTCAGGGCCTGTGGAGCAGAGAAAATAAAGTGAGGAAGGCAAAACCAACAGTATCTGATAGCTTTCCCCATCCTGACTCCTCCACAAAGCAAGATGAGATTTCAAATACAGGTAGAAGAGAGATGAGGTTACCAATTCAGTTGCTGCCCCTTCCCTAATAATAAGGAAGGGACAGGAACCATCAACTCTTTCTTGAACTGATCCTGTGTGCATACCTGGGGGTTAAGCTCAGTTCCTTGGATGCATTTATGAAGATAACTCTATAAGAAAATGTAACCTCCTTAAGTGATTTCTTCCCAAGTTTCAGTTTCATATCGTAAGTATGTGGTGCAAGTTACCTAAACATTTTATCTCAACTAGGTGGAGTCTTGTAATAAGTCATTGCCTTATTACCTCACCCCTAACTAAAGCAGTAAAAGGCTGCAATTAAAACAAGATATATGCAATATAGCACAAACAATAAAGGGTATGACTGGTGGCACCTCACTGTTTCAGATAATGTCATTTTTTTTTTTTTAAAAATTAAGCTCCAATGATGTTGTTTTCTCTGTGCTCCTTGATTGAGACACCTGGGTGGAGTGTGTTTTGCTTTGGTGAGCCAAATCTTGAAAGCCTGTGTGAAAAAGATGCCACAAACCAAAGATGATTTGTAGCATCGTAGTTCCAACAAAATTGGAGTGACAATGGTAACACACAGGTATAAGTAAAATGTTGCATTGTGCAGCATCTGAAGTGCTACAGCCCTTCACTAAAAGGTATTTGTTACTCAAGCAGGTTTACACTCTGCTGCAAAAATTTACATGTGCATTAATGCTGGACCCATTCATATACTTTGTTGTCACTGAAAGGGGATGTCATAAACCCAGACACACTTTCTCTCTCCTTGTACTGGCTCTGGTGCTGACTTGAGCACAGACAATCCACTGAGATTTCATAAAACTAACCTGAGCAAAATAAGAAAACCCAAAACAAAAACCAACCCACAATCCAAAACAGATTTCTGTAAGATGAACTGTCCTGAAGTGCAATCAGCAAAGGTCTAGTGACAGCGAATAGATGGGACAACAGAGCTGAGCAGAAGGATTCAAGGGCAAGAATTGCCTTTCAGGCAGCAGCAATCTGCTGTATCACAGCACACATTTAACCTTGGCTGCAGCCTACTTAAAAGCTGCAATACCTTAGCTTCCCAACACTGAGATTCAGAAAACCTGTCGCAGGCATCCAAATTTCTCTGTATGAAAGATATGGTCCTTGCCCAGAGCATCTTAACTCCTACGTTTCCTAGAGCTTAGGCTACAAAATGGCACAGCAGACACAGCACTTACCCCAAACACAAAGAATGTTAAGCCCAGCCTCACTGAGAAGGTTCAAACCCACACCCCTCAGTCCCTGAAGAAGAGCTCTTATCATTTGGCTTTGTACTAAAGGAGAAGCTTTACGCATCCTCTGGAAGTTAGGCAGGAGAAGAAAAAGCAATGAAGACTCACAGGGGACAGGAAAAACACAAAACTGGGAAGTCAATTTGGCTGCCACCCCATTGAGTGTAGTATTAGTTTCTAGCCCTAGCAATCAGGGCCATTTATGTGTTTTTTTCATAGACCTGTAAAACTGAAATGGACTGGAGAAGAAGCTAAAACCTAGGACCTCCTACTCCCAACTTCAACAGCTAGGCTGCTGCCATACTCCCTCCCGGGAACCTGCCATCCTTTATTTGGCTCCCAAACTTGCCAGCAACCAGGTCTCGTGGTCCCAAACCCCCTCAGGCTGAACCTAGCTCTTCTGCTTTCTGAATTAAAGCTCTTATCAGCAGACCGAGCCATTTCTTAGTCTGCTGCGTGACATGAGCACACACAGATCTCAGTATACGAGGCAAGCTCCGAGCTGGCCTTTTCAGTGAACCTTGGCCAACCGCTTGACCCTGTTCAAACTTAAAGAGACAAACTGGAGGCTGAAATGCGCAAACCGTAGGTTCACCAACGGGTATTTCACAATTGGCTCACACTGTCCTTTGCTGGTGCAGCTTCCCATTGGTCCCACCACCTTCTCCACCTCCAGTCTCTCCTTCCCTCTCCCACCTGTGTATGCCAAGGGTTTGCAGTCAGAAATTGGGTCAAAAACACAATTATGCTGGAAAGCTAACGCTACAACAGTAAAATAAATGCATATATATACACATTCCACTGGAGAGGGTGAAAAGAGCTCGGTTATGCTGCAGCAAACTGCTCATCTGACCAGCTGTCCTGTGTACTACACCCTCAGATCATCCTGATTGATTGAGAGACCATAACACAATAGGTGGCAAATCCTGTTCACAATTTACCTTCTCACCCAACTGCTCTATCTTGCCCAAGCCAGTTTATGGTCAGAGGGCGAGCTGGATCAGAGAATCAAATAAGGTCTTGGGAGGGAAAGAAATCCATGCCTCTCCACATTTTTCTCCTATGTGGATCAGTTTCCAGGGGGAATTCACCGTGTCAACTGTGCAGACAGCTCTGTTGGTGAAACAGAAAGTACAAAACCAAACAGCCACGACACCTAAACTGGCAAAATGGCCAAAATACAATGATGGAACTGCAAGTTCAGGCTAGGGCAGCATTAGACTCATCCCGAAGGAGAACAACACAGCCTTAGACAACCTCTGATTTCCTTAGGTTTTAGTACCATGAAGAGTTGTTTAAGGAGTTCAGAGGCCTCTAGAAATAGAGTTTTAGTTATAACATTGGCTTTAAATAAGCTTCTTTTGTTCATGTGTTTTATTTAGGACTAAATCTTTGCTCTCAATTGGCCATAGAGTGTGGTGTATCACACTGCTTTATAAAAGCGAATAAAACAAGGTAAGTCATTAATACCTGTGTTTCACCCCTGCAGAAATCAGAGAATCATGCTGAAGGCCTAAATCCGAGCCGAGAATAAAACACACATCTTACATGGCCTGAATTGAGGCTCTGCAAGACAGGCACCTTGCCACCTGGTGTGATCTTTCAAACGGCCAGATTGTGCATTTCCTAGGCAAAACATTACCTCAAGATTTGCTGCTAAAAATAAATAGGATCATGAAGTTTTACAACCACCCTCAAAGTACTAAATTTTGACACTTCAAATTCTATATAGGAAGCTGGAAGCGCTCGGTGTCTTTCACCATCGATGCCTCAGCAGAAGCTACTAGGTGAGAACCAGAATGAACAGGGGGAGAAGAAATGCCCTTTCTGTTACTATTTCAGTTGTACACACAACATAGTGAAATAAGTATTAACTCTGCTCATTAATTTTGAGTAACTACTGGATAGAATAAAAAAAGGGGGCCAATGTTAAAGTTGGTAAACCCCCAACTCCGCAAACAGCAGGGAAAGAATCAAAGTGAGTCAAAGTCCAAAAGAATAGAGGATAGAAGTTTAATATTTACTTTAAAGCAAATATTTCACCACTCTTTCAAGCCAAATAGAGCAGAGAAAAAACAACGCATAGAAATAAAAGACATGTGCGTTTTAAAATACTTTAAAGTGCAGTTTTAAAAGTTCTAAGACATCAAGCTCCTCAGAAGTAAATCTGAGCAGGAGAGACGCTATTATATAAGTATCTATACATATGTGAATAAGCCGTTAGCAACCGTATCCCCATACACCCCTTCACCGCCATAGGCGCGGGCCAGAGCAGGAACCGGGCTAAGCCAGAGCCGCCCGGGTTTTCGGGGAAGGCCCGCTCCCCGCGGCCGCCCGGGTGCACAGGGCCGGCAGGAAGGCGCCGGGCCGCCATTTTACCGCGCGGGCGGCGGGGAGCACAT